TTCTTTTCCACCTTAGACATTCCCAATTCGTTCAAAATATGCTAATTTAAAACACAGAATTCTTTCAGTGTTCCTCCGGGGTTTTTGGACATGGACTGTTTCTTTAATTTAATAGTGTTCGCTTTATTTTTGTGGAAACGAAACATGTTTTGCAAGTTCTGGATCATTTCTACACTCTTTCTTCAAATATTTCTCGTATTCCAGCTGCGTTTTGCGTTTGGATTTTCGCATCGTGTTTTTACTATATTCGTAATTTTAAATTTTTTAATAAAATCAATGGTGGTAGTTCATGTGGATTAATAGCACCACACTGAGGATTTGGCAATAACCTTTGTCATCTATTAAAAAACAACACTTACGGGGCAATGTTTATTGTAAGAACAACATTTTTCTATGAATCGACATACTTTAAGCATTGTTGACGCTATTTCTCTTTGAATGAGGAAATAGCGTCAATGACTTTATTTCCAAATGTTGTNAGCTGCTTTTAAATGATGTCACAAATTGCTGGCGGAGACATGAGTACAGTGTAAGAAAATTCCTTTTCTATAATTGTTTCCTTATACAAAGGTTGGTTTCTTTTCCACCTTAGACATTCCGAATTCGTTCAATATATGCTAATTTAAACACAGAATTATTTCAGTGTTCCTCCGGAGTTTTTGGACATGGACTGTTTCTTCAATTTAATAGTGTGACATGAGTACAGTGTAAGAAAATTCCATTTCTATAATTGTTTCCTTATACAAAGGTTGGCTTCTTTTCCACCTTAGACATTCCCAATTCGTTCAAAATATGCTATTTTAAAACACAGAATTCTTTCAGTGTTCCTCCGGGGTTTTTGGACATGGACTGTTTCTTTAATTTAATAGTGTTCGCTTTATTTTTGTGGAAACGAAACATGTTTTGCAAGTTCTGGATCATTTCTACACTCTTTCTTCAAATATTTCTCGTATTCCAGCTGCGTTTTGCGTTTGGATTTTCGCATCGTGTTTTTACTATATTCGTAATTTTAAATTTTTTAATAAAATCAATGGTGGTAGTTCATGTGGATTAATAGCACCACACTGAGGATTTGGCAATAACCTTTGTCATCTATTAAAAAACAACACTTACGGGGCAATGTTTATTGTAAGAACAACATTTTTCTATGAATCGACATACTTTAAGCATTGTTGACGCTATTTCTCTTTGAATGAGGAAATAGCGTCAATGACTTTATTTCCAAATGTTGTTTGACTTTATTTCGCTTTTGAAAAGGTAATAATGTCAATTGGCTTTATTTCGACCCAGGGTGGGAAAAAATTCAATTGACCTTATTTCCGTTGATCTTGTTGACTGTCACCATTTTATTTTATCGTTTCATTCAGTACGAGTTGTAAGACTTATCAACTGAGTTTACGAGTTAAAAACCGCTTTAGCGAGACCAAAAGCAAAAGTAGCTGATAGAGGGGATACGAGAATTTTGCTATTTCTTCAATTACGACTTATAGAGTAATAATGAATAAGAGTTATAGCGCAAGTGACCGAAGTGTTACGAATTACCTCAATTTTCCACTTATCCTGATTGCGTTTTATCGCGATTGCACTGTATATTTTCATTGGCTCGGTGGTTTTACAGCTTATTTTTCTAATGATTAACCTATGAATTAAACTTTTGTGTGCGTGTTGTACGTATTGTGTTTATAAAAAAGTGTGAGCATGCTAATGTATGGAGTGTGCTGAAAAGCAGTTTAGAGGAACTCGAACATTTACAGCGCAGGTGCAATGAAAAGTGTTTCAATTGTGGGCATGTAGATTATTTTAAACGGCTTCGGTTTGTATCACATTAAATGAATACACTCAACAGGGTATTACACATAAACTTTAGCCAGGTCCGATAAGGAGATTTGAGCCGATTCCGTTTGCATTCCCCTTCGTAGTTTGGTTACAATGAATCCGATAAAAAAGCACTCGGGCTCATGTGACTTTGATGGGTTATATGTGTTCGTAGATTGCTAGTCGTAAATAGGAAAACTTACCTTAAATTTCGCAAATTTTTTGTTTCTTTGTAAAAGGTGCTTGGGTTGTCCTTTTAACTGTGTTTTTTCGCTTATTAGTTCCTGTTTTTTCTTTTTACCAGATCCAAAGTTCTTGAAATTAAATTAAATTTTTTGACAAACAAAACATATCGATCAACGTACGCACATTTAACAGTTCAACTTGTCGACAGGCAGCTAATCAGCAAGAAAGACAAGTAGACGAACGCTCGAATTTAAATATCCAACAAAAATACTTTCTTGCGCAAATAATATTAGCATATCTTGAGACTGCAATCCAAAGCTTAAATCTTACATACATAAGTAAAGACAATTCTGTGTGCTTCCTTGGAGTATGCCTTTGCAAAAAACTAGAAGGAAAGGACTCATTGTTATTGACGAGTGCTTTCAAACAATAAGAACGTTCTGGCAGTTATTTGGCAATCGTTTGGAAAATTGGAATCATTGTATTAAGTATCTTCCCTATTATAGAGCAGCTAAAGGCACAAATACCATTGATACGAGTACACAGTATTATTTATGTGTATTTTTATTGCGGTCACAATACTAACATACATACACACATCAAAGCAATTGAATATTTGCAAAACATTCGTAGAGACATTGTCATATTATTTAGTAGGTATATGTATGCATCCAAGTACATATCTATAAATGCATGCCCTGCTGTAGGCAATATGGGCTTCAAGACTTGAATACCTCGGCGTGCTACGTTGTCCGCTCGTTCGGGCCGCTGCTGGACCACCGGACAAAGGAAATTCTTAAGCTGGTAAAGCACAACACCATTTTGACGGAACATTTCATCACAAAAAAAAAAATTCATGCGGTAAGGCTTAATTCGCAACAGCTTTCTAGAAAATGAAAAAATGGCAATAATCCAGCATTTTATCTTCAGCTGTCCTCCCTTTACGAATCAGAGGCTCAGCTTTTAATTTATCGAAACCCCAAACTAAGAAAAAGGTGCCATGAGTTTTTCCTATAGAGTATTTTTTTTTTTCGTGGTAGCGGTTTGAAAATTGTCTAGACATTTTTATCGAGAATAAATTCACCTCATTAAACAAATTTCCAAGCAACACCACTCTATAAATATCAAAATGTACAAATCTGTACAAATGCACCAATCGTGTGAGTTGGCATTGATTCAAAGTGAACATTTGAAAAACCATCTTGTGGCTTGCTTACTATTATTTGTTAGATTTCAGTAGAGCCCAGGTTCGATGCAGCATATAATTTTAGAGTTTTTCTTAAAAAAGAAAAAAACCATCTGTGAAGTGAAGAATGAAATCATGTTCAAACGAAAAACTTTCCAAAAATAAATCTGTTTAAAGTAAACAAAAGGGCGTTTGGCGCGAACTCATATCTTCTTAGCTTGAAACAAATACGGCATGGTTAATTTTTTTTCTCAGTGCACGGGAAATCTTAGCTCATCAGCTGCCTGCGAAACTTCGCTGTGAGTACGCAGCGTTTCTCTCTACAGGGAGTTAAAGTAAAGGAGCAAATTCGTCCGCCATTTCCTTGTAGGTCTCTAACCTTTCACCCATTATTATGTGGGTGACGAATTCAGTTACAAGCTTATTTATTTTCAGCGAAGTTTCACAGCACTTTACTGATCAGAGAGCCTCTTTTTTATCGGAGTAGATAGCCGCTGAGGGTAGGGTAAGAGAAATGCCGACAAGCCATGAAACCCTTAAGGGTAAAATTAAATCACAAGTGTGGTATTGTTTAGACGTTTACTGTGGAATAAAAAATACATGGAAAACTTTGGGCGCTTTGAGCGACTTCTAAATATTTTTTGATTTCAAAATAAAAAAAATAAGGATATACTTTTTTCAGTATGGAACAATCCTAAGGGGTGAGAGCATAAAAATTCCGACTTTACTATTTTTGGACCACCCTAGTGTACGTACATATACATAATATTCTCTCTTATGTATTACTTACATGCTTTATTACTGTTTTGCACATTTTATATACTTATTATCTACGGTAGTCACTACATGCTTTGACCTAATAAAGTCAGTCTTGAAATAGAGCTCAAGAACGTCGGTTGTATTATTCGCAAACGTTACATGGTGGCAGCGGTCGAAGTGCCCTACGCCGATTGAAGCAGTTACGCAATAAACGACTACCAAACCATAATAGCGCATTAAGCAATGCCCACAGGAAACGCGGAAAACGTCCCGGTTATAATCTTAGCCCAAGCAGCTTTACGGTACCGTCGCCTGGTGTCGTTTCTTTTCTGTGCCAACTGACGCCAATTGGAAATGCCAAGTGAAGCCAAGTCCTTCTCTACCTGGTCTTTCCATCTCAGTGGGGGCCTCCCTCTTCCTCTGCTACCACCAGCAGGTTCCGAGTTGAATACTTTCAGAGCTGGAGCGTCGGTGTCCATTCGAACGACATGCCATCGGAGCCGTTGTATTTTAATTCGCTGCACTATGTCCATGTCGTTGTAAAGCTCATACAGCCCATCGTTCCATCGTCTGCGGTACTCGCCGTCGCCAACACGTAAAGACCCGTAAATCTTCCGCAAAATCTTTCTCTCGAATACCCCAAGAGCCGCCTCATCGGATGTTGTCATTGTCCATGCTTCTGCGCCATATACTAGCATGGGCATGATGAGTGACTTATGTGGTTTTCGTACGTCGAGAGAGGACTTTATTCCTGAATTGCCTACTCAGCCAGCAATTGCACGCTCTTGTAGTAAATTGTTCCTGAGCGGTTTAGTTCTGTAGCTCTTATTATCTTCTGCAACATCAGATTAAAGAAGTCACAAGAAAGGAAGTCGGCCTGTCTGAACCCCCGTTTGGTGGCGAACGGCTCGAAGAGGTCTTTCCCAATTCTGACGGAGCTGGTGGTGTTATTATCGATGTTAATGCTGGTTCCCAAGCAAACGAAATTCTCTACCTTCTCGAAATTATAACTGTCAACAGTGACGTGGGTGCCATACCGCGAATGTGCTGACGNGTGGCGAACGGCTCGAAGAGGTCTTTCCCAATTCTGACGGAGCTGGTGGTGTTATTATCGATGTTAATGCTGGTTCCCAAGCAAACGAAATTCTCTACCTTCTCGAAATTATAACTGTCAACAGTGACGTGGGTGCCATACCGCGAATGTGCTGACGGTTTGTTTGATGACAGGAGATACTTCGTCTTGCCCTCGTTTACCACCAGACCCATTCGCTTTGCTTCCCTATCCAACTTAGAAAAGGCAGAACAGACTTCGCGGTTTTGGTTACCGATGATGTCGATGTCACAGGCATAGGCCAGCAATTGCACGCTCTTGTAGTAAATTGTTCCTGAGCGGTTTAGTTATGTAGCTCTTATTATCTTCTCCAACATCAGATTAAAGAAGTCACAAGAAAGGAAGTCGCCCTGTCTGAACCCCCGTTTGGTGGCGAACGGCTCAAAGAGGTCTTTCCCAATTCTGACGGAGCTGGTGGTATTGCTCAACGTCATTTTACACAGCCGTATCAGTTTGGCGGGGATGCCAAATTCAGACTTAGTGGCGTATAGGCAACTCCTTTTAGTGCTATCGAAAGCTGCTTTAAAGTCGACAAGTAGGTGGTGAGTGTCGATCCTTTTCTCGCGGGTCTTTTCCAAGATTTGACGTGTTGTGAATACCTGGTCTATGGTGGATTTTCCAGGCCTAAAGCCACACTAATAAGGCCCAATCAGTTCATTGACGGTGGGCTTCAGTCTTTCACACAATATGCACGATAAGTCCTTGTAACCTATGCTTAGAAGGCTGATCCCGCGGTAGTTGGCGCGAATGGCGGGGTCGCCATTCTTGTGGATTGGGCAGAGCTGGGGTTTCCAACCGTACTATAATATATAGTATTGTACTATTTCTCCTATCGGAATACTATATACTGTTGGAAAATATATAGTACGCGAAAATACTATATTTCTTCAGCTTTAAATGTATGTAAATATATTTCAATAAATTGAGAGAAAAAATCTGTATTGAAATGGATGACCTTTATACTGAAATAACAATATTAAATGAAATTTTCTTTAAAGTAAAAGGTCATAGTGAGTTTGTAATCAAAAAAGGCAACATATTTTTAATAACACTAAGAAAGAAATAACAAATTTACTTAAAATTATTTCTTTTCTACTCTATTCCAGCAACCTCGGCATTCACAGGAAGAACTTTTTCCACTACCTAAAAAACGTTTTTACTTTTTCTTTTAAATAAAATACTATTGAGCGATTCACAACGGTGTCGTAAGTGTCGTATTGTTGTATGTCGTAAACTTTAAAAGCTTAAATAAATGTTTAGAGAACTTGAAACGTCAACCAACTATTTTTTAGCACTGCAAAAAATCATAATATGGCTTTGATGGTACTTTGTGAATTCCATACCACATACAACGATACGACACTTACGACACCATTGAGAATACCCCATATATATATTTGAAGTGTACTATAATTTTCCGATTTTTATGACAAAATACTATACAAATCTTAGAAAATGTTGGCAACCCTAGGCACTTAAATTCCAGTCGTATGGCACGCGTTCAACTGACCATATTCTGCATAAGAGTTGATGCATGCACCTTATCAACTCGTCGCCACCGTACTTGAATAGCTCTGCTGGCAAGCTGTCAGCTCCAGCAGCTTTGTTGTTTTCAGCCGCGTTATTGCTATTCGTACCTCGTCATAGCCAGGCGGAGAAACATCAACTCCGTCATCATCGACTGGGGGCTCGGGTTCTTCATCCACAGCTTTCCGTGCTGCTCCAGTAGGATGGAAAAGTGTTCCCGCCATAATTTAAGTACGTTCTGAACATCGGTAACTAGGTCGCCATTGTTGTTCTTACAGGAGTACGCCCTGGTCTTGAAACCTTCCGTAAGTCACCTAACACTGGTAAAATTTTCGGGCATTCTTCCTGTCGGCCAGCATTTCAAGCTATTCGCACTCACGTATTGCGGCCTCTCTCTTTTTATTGCGGAAAATTCGTATCGATTCCCTCTTCAGATCCCTATAACGGTCCCACATGGCTCGGTTGCGCCCGATCGCAGCGTGGCCCTGTAGGCGGCTTCTTTTTCTCTGCAGCTTTCTGACACTCATCGTACCAGTTGTTCTCTCGGGCTCGCTGAAATTCGACTGCTTCTTCGGCGGCGGTACTTAATGAGCGGGAAATGTGGTTCCACTGCTCGCATATGACGGTTTGTTGAAGAGTGCTCTCTGAGGGCATATTTCCTGCGCATATTTTGCTGCACAGAGGCGGCTGCAACAAGATAGTGGTCCGATTCGATGTTTGGGCCTCGGAGTGTACGTACGTCCAAAACCCTGGAAGTATGCCTTCCATCTATAACGACATAATCGATTTATTTTCTCGTTTTTCGATCTGGAGACAGCCACGTAGCTTGCTGGATCTTTTTATGCTTGAACCTAGTACTGCATACTACCATGTTTCGGGCCCCGGCGAAGTCGATCAGCCTCAGTCCGTTGTCGGACGTTTCGTCGTGGAGGCTGAACTTTCCGACGGTGGTTCCAAAGATCTATTCCTTGCCCACTCCGGCATTGAAGACGCCAAGTACGATTTTGTTATCGTTGCGGGGCAGCGCTCGTACGTGCGCTCCAAGCGCTCGTCGAAGTCATCCTTGGATACTTCATCCTTCTGTTCCATCGGGGCATGGGCGCAGATTAGCGAGATATTGNTCTGAACATCGGTAACTAGGTCGCCATTGTTGTTCTTACAGGAGTACGCCCTGGTCTTGAAACCTTCCGTAAGTCACCTAACACTGGAAAAATTTTCGGGCATTCTTCCTGTCGGCCAGCATTTCAAGCTATTCGCACTCACGTATTGCGGCCTCTCTCTTTTTATTGCGGAAAATTCGTATCGATTCCCTCTTCAGATCCCTATAACGGTCCCACATGGCTCGGTTGCGCCCGATCGCAGCGTGGCCCTGTAGGCGGCTTCTTTTTCTCTGCAGCTTTCTGACACTCATCGTACCAGTTGTTCTCTCGGGCTCGCTGAAATTCGACTGCTTCTTCGGCGGCGGTACTTAATGAGCGGGAAATGTGGTTCCACTGCTCGCATATGACGGTTTGTTGAAGAGTGCTCTCTGAGGGCATATTTCCTGCGCATATTTTGCTGCACAGAGGCGGCTGCAACAAGATAGTGGTCCGATTCGATGTTTGGGCCTCGGAGTGTACGTACGTCCAAAACCCTGGAAGTATGCCTTCCATCTATAACGACATAATCGATTTATTTTCTCGTTTTTCGATCTGGAGACAGCCACGTAGCTTGCTGGATCTTTTTATGCTTGAACCTAGTACTGCATACTACCATGTTTCGGGCCCCGGCGAAGTCGATCAGCCTCAGTCCGTTGTCGGACGTTTCGTCGTGGAGGCTGAACTTTCCGACGGTGGTTCCAAAGATCTATTCCTTGCCCACTCCGGCATTGAAGACGCCAAGTACGATTTTGTTATCGTTGCGGGGCAGCGCTCGTACGTGCGCTCCAAGCGCTCGTCGAAGTCATCCTTGGATACTTCATCCTTCTGTTCCATCGGGGCATGGGCGCAGATTAGCGAGATATTGAAGAATTTTGCTTTGATGTGGATTATGGCTAGACGCTCGTCCACCGGGGTGAACGGCAGTACTCGGCAATGGAGTCTCTCTCCCACCACAAATCCATTACCGAATTTGCGCTCCTATATATGGCAGCTGTAGTATACGTCGCAAGGCCCCAGGCATTGCTTGTATTGCCCCGTCCAACGCGTTTCTTAGATGGCGGTGATGTCAGCTTTTATTCTTACGAGGACATCAACCAGCCGGGCAGAGGCACCTACCCCATTAAGGGTCCGGAGATTCCAGGTGCATGCCCCCAAATCGTAGTCCTTTAAACGTTTGCCGTGGTCGTCATCGTATGGGGGTCTCATCCGAGGCATTGTTTCGCTTCTTCACTGGAAGGGGTTTTTACATCGCGGGTCCCAAACCTAGCGCCCAACCCATTTCTGGGACGGGGGTGGTTTTGCAACCAAATACACGTTTGTATAGCGAGCCGCTTGCTCCAACACAGACACCCGCTTGCAGCCGCACCAACTGGTGAATAGACGCGGAAGACTCCAGTGAGCCCTTAAACCGAATAAGTCGGAGTGTTCTCACCGAAGCTTCCTCTTTTTCTGCCGTGACCCAAGGCTCCACTCGGATTGGTTACCGCATCTCGCACATGGGTTGCTCACGTTGCCCAGAGTGCGCGAACGAGGACGCAAGAGTCGGGATTGAGTATAGTAGCCGTGCAACTGTAACTGCATACCCAGCACAACGACTATATCCTATTGCACTCCGCCTGATGCCTTTACGTTTAGCAATCCGGGAGAGTGGCCAAGATGGCTCCGGCGATTCGAAAGATTCCGAATCGAAATTGCATACATCTTCAGAAGATGAACAAATCAACACGCTGGTCTACCTGATGGGGGATCAGGCGGACAATATATTTCTGTCATTTACTTTGTCAGCCCAAGACAAAAGGCTATACGCTAAAGTGGTGAAGGCTTTCACAAACCATTTTATGTGTGTTTATGACAAATGTTTTATATGAGAGGGCGAAATTTAACCTTCGCAACCAACTTGAAGGTGAACTCAGCGAAGATTTTATAATGGACCTATATCTATTGTTTGAAAATTGCAACTACGGTACTCTCAGAGAAGATATGATCCGCGGCAAAATTGTGGTTGCAGTGCGGAATCGAAAACTGTCGGAGAAACTACAATTAGTGACCGATTTGACCTTAAAAAAGCAGTCGCGGAAGTGAGACAGCACCGGGCTGTTAGAAGACAACAAATTGAGTGGATTTCTTCTATACACAAACTCACCACGCCCTCGCCTGACAACAACTACAAAAGGCTTAAACAGAAAAATAGTACCGAAAACAACAAACAATTGCAAAATAATAACAAGTGCATGTGGTGTGGCTCTCACACAGTTCATGTGAAACAAATTAGTTGCCCAGCAAAAGGAAAGAAATGCAACAAATGCAACAAATTTAATCAATTCACGCGTGTTTGCTTATCAAATGGATACCGTGGGCACGATTTTTTTTAGGCATGCTGTCGATAAGCAGCGTTGACAGTTACACGTCATGAAACGTGAACATAGTAACAAACAAAGTTTAAATGAAGTTTACAGGAAGTCGCCAGTCGACGTGATATCACACGAAATATTTAAGAACAAGTTCCGTAATACAAAACTAAACAGCGCGAAAATTAAACATCGTCCGAAAATTGGAGGCGAACCACAAATTTAATAGTACTTAATTAAATAATGGGCCCTATTCCGATTGGCAAAACGACAGTCGTTCGTCGAAATTTGAGATTTTCATTGGCGTTATGAGGCAACGAATGACATAATCCACTAGAAATGTGTATTCCTATTATCCCTTCGAAATGAAAAAGTATTGAAAACGTGTCAAAATCTGCCGTTAATGTTTTTATTTACGACTTAATTCAACGAACGACTGTCGATGCGAACGACTTACGATAACCAATATAGGGGTGAATGAGGTATATGTTATTGACGGGTTGAGGAACCGCTACTAAGCTTTAGCTCCAGCGCCAAATTGCGTTTAATATCAAAAAGTGAGCTACACAATACAAATATTAAAACAAACAACTTAAAATGCTCTAGTGTAGACATTTACAAAGAATATCCAATGCTTTTTAATGGACTTGGGTATTTTAAGAAATTTTAATTCGATATTAAGATTAAACGCGACGCGAAAGCATTTCAAGTTTTCACAGCTAGAGGCGTTCCAGTTGCGCTAAAAGAACCCCTTGTTGAGTCCATTTAAGCATTTACTCAAGTGTTAATTGCAGATGTTTACATAAGGGTTAAGTGTAGAGTCACCGCATAAGGGTTAACCGTTTTGACACTTATTTTTCTAATTTGTTATGCACCTGTTCTTGTAATATAATCTTTATTTTTATCAATCGTTATTACCGCTTACTAGTGACTGCATCGTTTTTCGCTATTAATCGTTCCGCCCGCTACAGCTTAAGTGTATTTAAGTAATTTATATATACGAGTACACATATGTACATTGAAATCGCTACTCGAATAGACATTGCATTTACTATACATATTCAATAAAGCAATATATTGAATTTTAAACTCACTTCGTTTCCTTGTAATAATTTTCATCAGTGAATATCCGCAACATACTAGTCCTTCGTTCCGGATTCGGTCGCTCCGCGCACATACATATATATATTTTGTTCCCGTACATATGTACATACGTGGTACATACGCATAAGCGCGATTGAGTAAAATAATTTGTAAAAAAACAAGTAAAATCCGCTGAAAAGCTAAAATACCGCAATCCGCAAACTTAATATAGTTGAAACCCACAATTAACTGCAATAAAGTTAAAAGAAACAATCATTGGTGCATTAAATCGTGCGAGCGTTTGCGCATTCGCCCTACAGTTGACATTGCGAAAATTCTAGAAGTCCGCCGCGTCCTTCATTTGAACTCTACAAGTGCTTATATTTTAATCTTGACTTACGAACGGCTCCTCAAAGGCAAACACAAAAATGTCAAATTGCGTTAAAACGCGCGATGCTGCTCTCAGTGCCATTAAACGCTATATGGCAAAAAGTGTAGATGACGCATTCACAATGGATGCGGAAAATATTACGAGCTACCTCCAGCTATTGGGTGAACAGTGGGCTCGTTTTAACGTTGCCCAAGATGCAATAGAAATTTCTTGTGGTGTTGATAATGCTGATATCGAAGAAAACGTGCGTATCCAAGCCGAGACTTGGTACTCGACGGCTTTAGCAAACTTAAAGCGCGTACAAAAGTGTCGCACCGAACCCCACAACAATGTTGTGTCAACGCCTGTGTTCGCGACCATTCGTCTACCAAAAATGGAGCTGCCTACATTCTCCGGTGATTCTACGGAATGGATCGGGTTTTACGACGCGTTTACCTCGCTAGTTGACAGTAACTCTGCACTGTCGGACGTAAAAAAGCTGCACTACCTACGAAGCTGCTTGAAGGGTGACGCGTTAAAAATTAAATTTAAAATAAGTGACGCGAATTACGCTGAAGCTTGGGGGCTGCTAAAATCGCGGTATAAAGTCCTGCGTGTAATTGTGGAAGGTCATCTTCGCGCACTGGCCGATGTCAAAAGAGCTACGAGCGACAATGCCGAGGCAATCAAAGTTTAATTGATGGGTTTCAGCAGCATATTCGCGAGCTTAAAGCGTTAGGTCGTCCAGTTGAATTTTGGGAGGACTGGTTGGTACATGAGGTCGTGAATAAATTGGCATTCGAGACGCGTAAGCAGTGGGAGCTATCACTCGTGAGTGATGAGCCTCCGTCATTCGAACAATTAGCCACATTTCTAGAGATACGATGTCGGTCGCTATCCATGCTTCCGCCATCAGTAACACCGACACCAGTCAAGGTCAAAACCGCATCAGCAAGCAAATCGACAAACGTGTTCCATGCGATACCGGAACAGAATAACGCGTGTGCTTATTGCAATGGACCTCACAAAATTTATGGTTGTGAAAAGTTTCGTGATCTGGTTTTAACCGCAAAATCGAAATTCGTGAAGCAAGCGCGTGTATGTTTAAATTGCCTAAGCTCGGGACACTATAAAGATCGGTGTAACAGTGGTTCCAACTGCCGTGTGTGCTACCAACGTCATCACACGCTGTTGCGTGGTGCCGTACCTTCAACAACCGTTACCGCAGCTAGTCAATTTTCCAACAATCCGTCCCATCCGTTCTCTGCCGCTGACACCGCGCCCCACGTAAACGCGAACGCCTCATTAGATTTTGACGCATCATCTAACGCTGACGCTGACCCCGCGCCGCACGCAAACGATTCACTAGCCGACCACCCTTCATCGAGCGCCGCCGCTGCCTCCGTTTCATCATGCCTCAACTCCAATTTCAATCCGCCCATTCCAGTAGAAAAAGTTGTGCTGCTATCCACCGCGTTAGTAAAGGTATGTGATTGTTCCGGCCGTGGGCAACCCGCGCGTTTACTGTTCGAATCCGGGTCGCACGCCTCCTTTGTGACCGAGGCTTGTGTGCAACGCTTGGGACTGCAGCGAACATCATCCGAAGTATACATCACCGGAATTGGGTCAGCGCAAGGAGGCGGAGCTAGAGGTGAGGTATCACTGTCTCTCTCCTCCTACTGTTCCGATCAATGCTTTACTGTCAACGCGCTAATTTTGCCAAAAATTACAAGCGATTTACCAACGCAGACTGTAGCTGTTTCAACATGGCATGTTTGGAAGCGTGCATGGGGCCGGGCCTTCTGCGCCACGCTTGCAGTCGCTGCACTGTGATGTTCAGCTAGAGCGAGCCTTGACTAGGCTGTGGGAGTTGGAGGAAGCGCCTCAAAAAACACATCTTACATACGATGAACGTTACTGTGAAGACCGCTTCGAGACAATGCACCGAAGAGCACCTACTGGGCGATTCATCGTTGAGTTGCCGTTGAAGCCCGATGTACCGCTAGGGGAATCGCGAAACCTCGCCGTCCAGAATTTACTACGCCTTGAAAGAAGACTCGCTCGCGACAGCGACCTACGTTTGCGCTACAACTAGTTTATGAAAGAACACATCGACATGAATCATATGCAGATCGCGTCAGAAACCTTCAATCAAACCTACTACATGCCGCACCATCCCGTTATAAAGGAGATTAGCATTACAACAAAACTGAGGGTTGTTTTCAACGCGTCCGTCAAATCATCTTCCGGTAATTCGCTGAATGACGCCATATTTGTCGGCCCTCACGCTTTGGATGCACTTTAGAACGAACCGCTTCGCAGTAACCGCAGATATCGCCAAAATGTATCGTCAAATCTGCGTATCCTCAAAACATGCCGATCTGCAGCGCATCGTTTGGCGCAGCCATCCATCCTTGCCCATCCAAGATTTTCGCATGGTTCTTGTGACGTACGGAGGAGCAGCTGTATCTCACCTAGCTGTCCGATCGCTGCAACAGACGGCAAAATATTCATCGAATGGTTGTGCTAGAGCCGTTAATGTTATCCTAAAGGACTTTTATATGGATGACCTGCTAAGTGGTGCATCTAGTAAGGAGGAACTTATGTTTCTGCAGTAAAGAGTGCCTGAAATATTGCGGGAAAGTAGATTTGAACTCCGAAAGTGGGCGTCGAACTGCGTAGAACTAAATGCAAGCATCTCTAATGCAGCTGAAACCATATCGCATTACATCGTCGACGATAAGGAGGTTTATGCATTAGGTCTGATCTGAAACACGGAGGGAGACTACTTTACATTCACTGTCAGCCTGAAGCAACCACCTGCTAGTTTGACCAAAAGAGCATTTTTATCAGAGGCAAGCACGCTATTCGATCCGTTGGGACTGCTTGCGCCTGCAACTATAAAATCAAAGATGGAACCATCCAAGACATTTGGCGCACCAATGTAGGTTGGGATGACCTCATTCCTGAGTCCATCGCAACAAAATTGTTGGAGCATCGCATAGAATTGGAGCAGCTCGCACACTTGAAGGTGGATCGCTGGCTCGGTACGGAAGTATCTGGGTCGTCCACGAAACTGCACGTGTTCGCCGATGCTTCCGACCGCGCATACGCCTCCGTTCTGTACGCGCGTACCTCACAAAGCGATGGTAGCATTATTGTCGCGTTGATCTCGTCGAAGACCAAGATGACACCGCTTAAACCGACAAGATTATCACGACTAGAGCTTTGCGCTGCGCATTTCGCTACAAAACTGGTGCGAAGCGTGCTACTCTGCAGGTCTGATCTCCGTTACCCGCTGTTCGCGTGGACTGACTCCACCATCACATTGGCTTGGCTGCAGGCGCATCCCAGCAGATGGATGACTTTTGTTGCCAACCGCGTAGCCGACATTCAGGATGTCCTGCCGCCTGAGTGTTAGAACCACGTCCGCTCCTAGCAGAACCCTGCAGATTGCGTTTCAAGGGGTTTAACTCCCACCGAGTTACTACGTCATCAACTGTGATGGGATGGTCCTGACTTCCTGAGAAGCACTGACCAATTTTGGAAGCAAAAATCATCGAAGCACCACACGACAGAGTTGGGCATTCGAAGCAGCGTTCGCGTCCATGTGACTAGCTCCAGCAATCACTGGTCGGTAATAGCGAAGTACTCGTCGTTTTCCAAACTTCGTCGTATCATTGCTTACGTTCTGCGCTTCAGCTTCAACGCTCGAGCTGACAGACGTCTCGGCGTTAGAAAGCGGTTTGGTCCTCCGAGTTGCAACGAGTTGTCTGAAGCTGAACTTCGCCTAGTCAGGTATACGCAACAGCATTATTTGTCTAATGAGATTTCTCTTTGCAGCGTTAAAAGACCAAACCCGCTTCGCAGTTGTCTTTTGCGTTTGCACCCGTTCCTCGATGTGAACAACGTTCTGCGTGTTGGAGGCAGATTAAAAAATGCTCGTGTCACGCCTGATGTAAGGCATCCCATTATCCTGCCGAAGAACTGTCCGCTCGCCAAGCTAATAGTCTGCGAAATACACAAACTTACCTTGCACGCTGGACCCCGAATTATGCAGACTGTTTTACAACGCCGTTATTGGGTTGTCGGCGCTCGCAGCCTAGTCCGCAACGTATATCGCAAGTGTGTGAAGTGCACTTGTTTGAACCAAATCCTGCCGCGCAGGTCAGGGTTGACCTACCTGCTACTCGCACAACTTACGCTCGTTGTTTTACCCGCACCGCTGTCGATTTCGCTGGGCCTTACATGTACAAGTTCACCCAAGTTCGTCTGTATGTGTACAGGTGCGATGCATCTCGAATTTGTTGGTGACCTTTCAACGCCAGCGTTCCTTAACGCGTTTAAAAGGTTTACAAATCGCAGAGGCTTTTGTAAAGTCATGGCATCAGAAAATGCCACCAACTTTGTTGGCGCCGAGAAGGGGCTTCGCATCGCATTTCAACGCTGCATGTCTGATGCCACACTTCAATCTTTCTTTGCGGATTCGAATATCGAATGGCGTTTTAATCCACCGGCCGAACCTCATATGGGAGGGTATTGGGAAACTGGCGTCAAACGTATCAAATATCACCTGAAACGCGTGCTGGGCGAAACGTTGTTCTCATACGAAGAGTTCAACACCGTGCTGACAGAAGTAGAAGCTTGTGTGAACTCCCGCCCGCTATGTGACATTTCCTCAGATGGTGGTGAGAAGTCCTTACGCCTGGGCATTTCATTGTGGGGGAGCCGCTGAAGTCAATCCCAGAACCTGAGGGTCAAGGGTTCTATGGAAATCTTCGTCAGCGATGGCAAGCGATTTCTACCCGGAGACAGCATTTCTGGCGCCGATGGAGGGATGAATATTTGGTAAGCCTACAACGACGCATCAAATGGTTTCGTTCTTCGCGCAACATTTAGGACCACATCGCCGGTCGCCGTTTTCAGCGAGCCTACTCCTCCGACGAAGTGGACGCTTGCACGAGTCGTAAAATGCCATCCTGGAGCTTATGGTCATGTGTGCATAGTTACTTTGAAAACACCGCATGGAGGATTGGTCCGGCGAATAGTTAAGCTGTGCCTTCTTGCAACAAAAGAAGATCTGTTTTGCGAGGAAAACTAACCAACTACTTTTTTATGATACTATTTGAATTTTTGAATTTCAAGTCTAACTTTAACGGCATCCTTAAATTTTGTATTGAACATATCAAGGCAGTTCAAGGGCGGCGGTATGTTGAGTCCATTTAAGCATTTACTCAAGTGTTAATTGCAGATGTTTACATAAGGGTTAAGTGTAGAGTCACCGCATAAGGGTTAACCGTTTTGACACTTATTTTTTTAATTTGTTATGCACCTGTTCTTGTAATATAATCTTTATTTTTATCAATCGTTATTACCGCTGACTAGTGACTGCATCGTATTTAAGTAATTTATATATACGAGTACACATATGTACATTGAAATCGCTACTCGAATAGACATTGCATTTACTATACATATTTAATAAAGCAATATATTGAATTTTAAACGCACTTCGTTTCCTTGTGAAATTGGAATAATTTTCATCAGTGAATATCCCCAACACCCCTAACAGGTCTATTCTGCGCTGGTAATAAAAAGTTTGTAACCGGTAAATAAAGTTCCTGTCAATTTTTAAACCCTTTTCGCATTCTGTGTACTCTCGTAAGGTACGTATTTACGTATTTCATCACACAGTTTTATATAATACTTTAAAAGTTTACATTTAACACAATGAATAAATATCTATATCACCACAGTTGCTCTCTGAAAAATTTTCAGTTTCAGCTGAAACTGCGATACGATTCTCAATATCGCCATACAAAAAACTGTCACTTGAAATTGCGACGAAATTGCCTCAACCTCGTGAACACCATGATAAAATAAAATTATAGTTTAAAAAACTAAAACCTCACTATTATAATTTGCATTCGTACTGTCATCAGGTATGTAACTTGAGAATATAAATCGCTGCATCTTTTAGGCGCATCAATATTACATAGTTACATCCGAGCTAACGAAAGGGAGTTAAAAATAAATATATGTTACTGTTCAATATTGGAGGCGGTGTGAAAAAAAAATTTTATGGGGCGGGTGGCAACCCATTGAAAAATGGGGTATATCATCATTTTGACAGGGAGAATGTAAACTCGGGTTACGCTAACCACAGGATTTTTGCGCAAAATACCTTTCCACGTTGTAGGCTTTCGGCAGCGCTTCGAAAAAATAACCTCCTCAGCCCGGCTACGCTGACCACAGTATTTTTTACAAAAAGATCCATATTTCAAACCGAAGTTATTCATAAATTTATATCTGAAAATTTTTATTTTAAACTAACGTTTAATTGTTTGACCACACGTGTGTGTTAAACATTTTTGCTTTGGGTTAAGCGTTTGGACATAATAACCCAAAATTATTGTACAAATAACCTAGCCGTACCCAACAAAATACCTTTTGCTTGTTCAAATTTCGATTCTAAGAACAAAATGATTTGTAAATAAACAAAAAATTAATAACAAAATTTGGAGAATTATAGATATTGGATACGGTAGCACGAAATTTCACAATCTACTTAATTGTCAGGTTATTAATATGGCGACGAAAAAGTGACAATGGAACTACCTTCTTTTTTGTATCATGGTGAACACAACTCTTAAAATCGCGTATTGTTAATTATTAATGAGTAAAAAGAAGAAAAAACAAACGTCAAACAAGCAAGTAAAAACAAAACAAACCGGACAAAAAAAAACAAATAAACTAACTGTCATCGAAATTGATATTGAGATGGTTGTGTAAACAGCTACAAATTCAGTTTGAAGTAGAGTATTGAAATTGCGCAATTTGGCAGCACCTTCAGCTCTTCAACTAAAACAATGTTTACAATATATTTTCGTGACTTTTACATTCATATTGAGGAGAAAATTGGCTGGTCAACTAATTTGAAAGCAACATTTTGGCAAACTAGGTTAATAATTTTATTTCAGTAAAATTGTGGTAGTTGTGGTAGAAGTGAAAAATGATCCAAAATGTGGTAGATTTACCACAATTGTGGTAAAGTGGCTACACTGGCGCCTTGATGTTGTCACACAATATTATTAGTCTGTTCCAAAAGCAGTCCGGTTTACAGGATTTAGTCAGAACTTACAGGAAGTAAGGACTAAAACCTGTAAGTGGGAACACTTTGGAGAAAGTAACTGAGCAACTGTTCCTAGTCAAAATTTACAGAATTTAGTCCGGAGTTTTTTTCCTGTAAGTTCATGAAAAGTGTCAAACGATCAGCTGATTTTCATGTGCAAACAAAAATAAAAAGCGGTGTAAGCAAAGAACCTTATATTTGTAAAACATATGGAAGTAAACAACGAAATATTTGAATATATATAGATTTTAATAATTAGTGAATCAGTGCCAAATCAGTGTTGTACAAATGACATGTAAACAAACCGACAGACGTTTTTACAGGAAATAGTGCTTTTTGCGTGCACTTCTGCATCTGTTCTTCTTTTACTCTCACTTGAGAGAGCAAAATTATAGTTTGACAGTTCCACAGGTTTTAGTCCGAAGTTCAAAGGAACAGACTATAGTTGCGTTCCAGATAACTTCGTGTAAAAACCTGTAAAACTGTCAAGTAACAAAATTACTCTTTTGAAAGAGAGGAGCAAGAGAGAAAAAATAAAAGTCACCTGGAACGCGAAAAACCACTTTTCCTGTAACTACTTCCATTTTTTTGTAATGTTAAGCGCCATGGATACGATCAAATATCTTTATCAACCGTCTCGCGTTTTGCTTGACAAAAACTAAGCGCACTTGCCTTCTGATCGTCGTGGTGAGCAAGTGCGCGGACAAGAAAAAGAAATTGTTTGTTGAATT